CAGGAGTCCATGGGCTGCTCCAGCCACCAGTTCAGAGGCAACTCTTAGGGCATCTCTGTCACCAGGACTCAGCACCCCAGGGACAGCCCCGGAGGGCGGGACCAAGGAGCCAGGCCTTTAAAGCAGCTCCCGGAAAGGGGGACAGGAAGACCCCACCAAGTCCAGCTTCCACACAGGGCTGGACTCACTTCAGCCTACGTGAATGGGAGCAGACGGGCGGTTTCTGCTCCCAACTCCGCTCTGCTAGTGACCGCCCTGCCCTGCACGCTGTGGGGATTCTGTACCCTGTTTCTTCCCTCCCCCAGAGCTGCGTCCTGGGAGCTGGGAGCTGTGTGCTAGTCAGTTCCGCCCAGTCCTCTTGAGTCCCTGGAGGGCGATGAGGAGGGCAGAGGCTGGGAAGACAATCTTCTCCATACAGCTGAGGTCACCTCAGCAGGTGCCCGCAGCCGAGGCTCAGCTCCCTGCTGGTCGAACTCCTATCCTATCCACAGGGGATCTGACCCCAAAGCCCAGCATGCCTGGAAGGCTGTCCTGCCTCCTGGCCCCGTGGCATCCGACCTCACCCAAGGGGCTCTGGAGAGTGGGACTCTGCCTCACATGACCTGGGACCTTCTGCCGCACATGAAGAGGAGAACAGGAACTGGAAACAGAGCAAAAACAAGACCCAGGCCAGAGTGCAGACTGTGGCCCCTCTGGCTACAGCAGACATTAAGCTCCGATCACGCGAAGCTCATCACACATGGCAGACACAGTCAGCTCCTAAAAACTTACAGTTTGCAAAGCCAAGCAAAACAAAACACACGTCAGCACACTCACATGAGACGCGGCGGGGATAGTCAGACAAGAAAAGCAAAGTGACAAGGACCAATATGTTAAGTCACAACGGAGAAAGCACACGGCTTGTGGGGCACATGGGTAAGGTACACAGCGAGCCGCAAGGTGACCAAGCCAAACTGAAGGCTAGAACTGAAACCCCCTGGCAGCTGGGAAGAGTGGATGGGAGACAGTGAAGAAGGGCTTGAAGCCGGGGATGGATTGATAGGAACTTCTCCACAGGAGGGCAAAGACCACCCTGGCCTGTGGGCCAGATGAAGGATGTAACGCGGGTAACTGGAACATCCGAGAAAGGAAAGCTAGCATGGGACTGTCTGAAATGACAATGGCCGAGAACCTTCCAACATTAATAACACCAAACTACAGATGCAGGGAGCACAGAGAACGCGAAGGAAGAAGGAGAGGAGGGGGAGGAGGAGGAGGAGGACAAAGACCACCCTGGCCTGTGGGCCAGATGAAGGATGTAACGCGGGTAACTGGAACATCCGAGAAAGGAAAGCTAGCATGGGACTGTCTGAAATGACAATGGCCGAGAACCTTCCAACATTAATAACACCAAACTACAGATGCAGGGAGCACAGAGAACGCGAAGGAAGAAGGAGAGGAGGGGGAGGAGGAGGAGGAGGAGAGGAAGAAAACAGAAACATGAGAAAACAAGGAAAAATAAAGCTTCCAGAAACTCAAAACTCCCTCAAACCACAAAAGAAAAAGGCCGAGGATTTGGCTCAGTGGTTCCACTACCTGCCTCTCTAAGCGCAAGGACCCAAGTTCGATCCCTGGTACCCCAAAAAGGACAAAGCAGACATTTCACATCAAAATTGCTTGAACCCAAAAGAAAATCGTTTAGCATCAGGAAAGCCCATCTTCTCACAGACCAACAAGAGGAAGAATTGCTGTGGACTTCTCATCAACCCCACCGGCAAGAACAGGAGAGTGAGGTGCTCAGGTACAGAAAGGAGGAACTGCAGTGATGCGGCGCTGATAAAATTCCAGCGAAATTACGCTGTGAAGGTGAAGGAGAAGAAAGAAACCTCAGACAAGCACGATGAGGGCACTCAGAGCCACCTGGTCTCCACAGCACCAGAAATCCACAGGTGGAGTGCGGGGAAATGCTTCAAGACAGACACTGAATCATGCGGCGTCTATGACTGTGCGTTACTGGAACTCTAACCTTTGCTGTGTCTGATGGGTAAACTTCCCCATAGGTGTGCACAGAAACGCTCCATCCTCCCGGGGCGGCACTGGCAGGCTCCAGCGCCCACTGGAGGTGGATGGGGAACCACACTGCCACCATAGGGATGGAAAGGGATGGCTGGGTCCTGGGGGCCCAGAGTGTGGTGGGTGGGTGCCCATGACATTCTCGGTGGGGTGAATCTGGGTTAAGAATGTCAGTTCATCAGCTGGAGCACAGGGGTTGGCCACAGTCACCACTCCAGTCTGTACTGTTGCCTGGAGAAACACCAGCTGCAGAGCCACACTGTTCCTCAGGCCACACACTGGGAGGGCAGAGGCGGCGCTCGAAGCCAGACAGCCACTGCATGGCCAGGACTGCAGCCCCTGCTGTGCTCCCACAGGCCCCTCGCCCTTCCAAGAGTTTGAAAGTATGAAGGACAACCGAACGCTTGGTCAGGGAGACCCTGCGGGGTCTGGGGAAACTGTCTTGCTCCCCGAAGTGAGATTGTAACTATACTGAGAAACAGCCCTGGGGAAGACTTGTCACAAATACGCACTCATGAAAGGATGGACACAAAAGGAGGCCCCAGACCTTGGGCGGAAGCAGCCAACTGCGGGGCGTTGCTGAAAGAGGGGCTGCTGACCACAGTGTGGGCCGGGACACCACAGCAGGCCATACCCAACAGGGCTCCGCTGCAATCGGGGCACAGAGAACTGAACTGGTGGGACAGAATCAGGTCAGGACACACATCCACCCCCCGGGGCGCTCTGTCTGTGTGACAGAATCTGGACCAGCGGTGGGGGCGGACTAGCGCAATTCACAGCTATGAACTGTTTCTAGGATTTCCCCTACTGCCTCATTCAGGTCCTCTGGGAACAAACTATGGAAAGTGAAACTAGCGCAGGGAGGAAGGTGTTACTACAAGGAGATAATACAAGAGAAGCAACAATGTGAAAACCCTTCCTTTGAATATTAGGTAGAACCAAGGCTGCCTCCGAGAGTGCCTAGAACAGGAAGCTCCCTGACCCACTGTGCCATCATCAGAGATGGAGGAAAATCAAGACAGCCTTGAGTCAAGCTGCTCCAGTTAGAAACCCAGAAGGGAAGGCAACAGAGAAATAACAGAGAACAGAAAAACAGGACACAGGAACAAAATGCCAAATGCCGACGTGCTAGGAGCACAACACAGCACGAAGGGAACATTCCAGCACAGACTGTCACAAAGGCTAAGAATAGATAGCAGGCGTGAACAGACGGGCACCAGGCAGCGGGAGGCAGCCACCCTGCTCCCAAGGACGCAGAAGGAGGGGAAGCAGCAGGCGGGAGCGTAGCCACACCAGAGGGCAGGAAGGGAGTGGGCCAGGCCGGGCAGCCCAAGGCAGGAGAGAGGACATGCCCGGGCCACCTGTCCTCCCTCCTCTGGTGCTGAGCCCCAGCCCGACACCCACTGTGGGTGTGGAGGCAGTGAGGCCCGAGCACAGCCTGGGTGACTCAGGCACTGTGGGCACTGGTTGATGTCACAGCGAGCCACCCAGCCCAGACAAGCAGCCCCGGGCTCCAGAGCAGTGCCCTTCACACTGCACGTTTTCAGCCACCCACCCGAAAGAGAGGGCACAAAGAGTGAAGGCTCAGAAGCAGAGACTGTGGGGTGGGGCAGCGGGCACTAAGCTGGTCCCACTGAAAGGGCAGAGTGGCCACCAGGGACGGCTGAAAGGGAGCCCTTGGATCAGCAACCTGGTGAAACTTGCGCACGCCCCGATATTCAGCCAGGAAAATGTTCAATGTAAAAAAAGCATAATAAGCACAAAGCCATCAATCCCCGAAATCTATCCCAGCTGTCTAATCTTATCCATTATAAGTGGATGGACCTATATTAAGATCATACATATGAATAAAGCTCATCACACAATAAGCATTATGTATATGGAAGTAAACACACAGTGCACTGGTAAGTGTGTAACACTCGTGTGTAGAAGAAGCACAGAAATAACCAGAGTATAAAAGTGTGATGGGCAGTGACCATCTCACCCATCCTCAGCTCTGAGCAGCATGGGGACCGGGCTGGTGTGGGCAGGCCCTGTGTAGACACCAGGGATGGGTGAGTCTGTCCCACACGGGGCCCAGGAGGTGGCATGGGCTCAGGTGAATGCATTGGGGTGCCATCGGGTGGGGCCCAGGGTCGTCTCCAGGCTCTCGGCGTCCCAACGAGAATCGAGCAGGACCCCAGGAAGAGCAGAGGAGTGAGATTTACTAAAAGGCAGTAGGGGAGGAGGCAGGAGGTGCAGCCCTCAGGCTGGGAGCGGCCCAGAGCAGCTCTGGGTCTCTCGGGTCCTGAGGTTGCGGGAGGGTCTGTAGCTGGGGAAAAAGGGCACCTGACACGGCCCACCCCCTACAAGGGCACTTCTGACTACAGCAGGTCCTGAGGAAGTGCCATGGGGCCCAAGCCCACAGAGGGGTCAGGACCGTGATCAGCTGAGTCTGGGCAGAGGTGCGGGTGCTGCGCTTTGGGGTCTGCCCTGCCTGGGGTCCTAGGGGACTGGGGGACCTTTATCTGAGGTCCTCTGGTATTTTGACATCGGGTTCCTTGCTCTGTTCTTGGCCCACGGCTTCCTGTCTGCTGCCCTTGGTCTATCCCTGCCTTAGCAGGACCCTGTGCGCCCGGCTGCAGTTGCTGTGCAGTGTCTAACCTGGAGGGTGCAGGCCCTGGGAGCCCTCCATCTCCCTGTCTCCTCCCCAAGCCTGTCTGCCCCCAGGGATCCACACCCAGGCTCTGGGACTCAGGGTCACAAGGGAGGCCCCAGAGCTGAGACGTCCAGTATGCAGTAGTTGCTGAGAGAGACGCCAGCTCGGTTCTGCCCACCGGGCCCTGCTCTGCATCTCTGAGGAGATACCACTGGCCCACTTCTCCAGCAGAGTGGGGGACTGCACTCTACTCAAGAACACTGAGATTTTATTTCATGAAAATCACAACACAGCTTCCTAACTGCTTGGCATTCATCATCTTGCCCATGCTATGCACTACTTTAAACACACCATTCCCCCAATTTCTCACTTCTGGGCAGATCAGTACAGATAGCAAAGTACCGCAGAAGGCAGGGTCTACAGCCTATAAATAAAGTGCACAGTGCCCGTCCTCAGAAACAAAAGGCCTGGATGCATTCTCTTTGTGGCTGGTGATGTATGAGCTACACGGGGTGATGTACAGAGGTGGGAAAGGAAGCCCTCCACTCAGACTGTGGCCGTGCCCCAAGGGCCGCCTCAGGACTGGGGAGAGGGTGTGAGGGGCCGCAGGGTGACCTGGGCACCACAGGTGGCCTGGGCCATGACCGCTGCGAATGGGGCTCAGCCCGAGGCGGGTCTCGGGCAGCCTTGGCTACCCCTCCTTGTGGCCTCCCTGCTGCAGGGCAGGGAGGGTTCTGTCCCACAGCAGGCAGAGGGCGGAGGCCCCTTGGGCAGGCTGCCCTCGGCCACCAGGCCTCCTGAGCTCGGGTGGAACATGTGCAGGGCATGCATGAGGCCCTGGGCTCCATCGTGAGAAAGTGATTTATTTTTTAAAAAGCCACCAGATGACTGAGGCAGAAAATGTCCACAGAGCTGTGAAACTTCACTTGGGAGCAAAGCAGGTGTGGCTGAGAAGGGATGCAGTAAAGTCGGGGTCACAGTGTAAAGTGGGGTTTCCAGTGGATGCCGCACTGCCTCCATCCAGCACCCGCGGTGTACATAGGCGTGACCTGTCCACCAAGCCGTCACGGTGCTCCTTTCCCAGGCTGACACAGAGCCCAGTTTGGCAGGCGGTGTCACCCCAGAGAGCTGGACTGGGGTCTCCAAGAGGGAAGGGTGGCCGGCCTTCCCCGGCCATGATCAGGGAAGCAGCTCTGCGGGCGGCCAGGCCAGGAGACCATGGTCTGGTCTCAGGAGGGCATGCAGAAGGCAGTGGGCTACAGGCAGCCGGAAGGGCAGGCTGGCTGGTGCTGGGAGGGGACCTAAGCTGCTCAGTCCAGAAAGGCAGAGCTCATGGGACAGGGCAGCCCCACCATGGAGCCTGCATCGCCCAAAGCCCGGGCCATTGGCAGTGGTTTTCACAAGAGGGTGGCATGGACCCTGCGGACAGGGCCAGCGACCCCAGTGTGCACAGAGGACAGGACGTGTACATGGCCAGGATGGAGGCTGCCCCGCCACCTCACCCTGGAGAGACCTGCACACCCCATGCCACAGCCTCATGGGCTCCTGTGCTCTGTGTGTGGACATGGAGGGGCTGTTTTTGGTGTCGTAGTGCCCCAGGCACACCCAGGACCGAGGGCCCCATGCCGTGGGCCACGCAGCCTGTGTGTGGGCTTTGGTCATGGAAGGCAGCAGGGCAGAGTCATGTGTCCCATGCCACATCAAGTGCACTTGCTCTGAGCTCTCACACAGTGGACAGGTCCACGCGCTGGGCGGAGTGGCTGCTCTTGTCCCAGGGGCCCAGCTTGGCAGAGGCCGTAGCTGGGCGGGTCCCGTTCATCTGTAAAGAGTTGTGAGGTGTGGATCCGGCTCCCGGAAGAGCTCGGCCCCAAGCCAGGCAGCTGCACAAGCAGCGGGTCCCCTGCTCCCTGAGGAGAGCATCGGCGCCCTCAGCACCCACACAGAGCTCTGCCTGTGTCCCTCCACCAGAGCCCAGCCCTAGTGGGTACCCACTAGTCTGTTCCTCCCCACATGCGTGTGTTCAGGTCTTTCTTGGATGAGCATGCAGTGCAGGCACTGTGGGGCCGGGGCTATGTTCTCTCAGTGACAGTGGCCAGCAAGCAAAGGTGCGGAGCAAATAATGGTGGGGGTAGCAGGGACAGGACCAGCGAGAGGGACAGCACAGCATCTGCCTGGCTGCTGGGGCCCTGCAGGGGCTTGGAGGGCAGAGGGACAGTGCCTCAGGATGCCTGGAGCACCAGCACCCTGGGTGAGGCAGTGATACGACAGGAGCATGGCGGGTGAGCAGCCCTGGGTGGCAGGAGGGACCCCTGACCACCAGCTGCACTTACAGTGTCTGAGCTGAACGGCTTCCCAGCCACGGTGCGGGCCGAGCTGCTTGTGAGAGACCAGACCTTGGTCTTGTGCTTGAAGGCGGCTCTCACCTATGGAAGAGGAAGCAGCCATCAGGAGTGACTGCGGGAAGGGACAGTGTCGCCATGCACAGGATCTTCGGTGAGGTCCAGGGAGTCCAAGGTCCCAGCCCCCACTGAACCCCTCCCGACAGGGGGCACTGCACAGAGAGGGAACACGTACCTCGGAGTTCAGGAGACAGTGGAAGAGGAAGATGAAGCCGCCCTGTGGAAGGGAGAAGTGGCATTAGGGCCAGGTGCTCATCCTCTCAGACTCTCGGGAGTCACACCCAGCACAGCAATGACACAACCCCTGTGAGGACCTGAGACGCTGGCTCCCGACCGCTCCCCACACCACAATCCATCATCTGACAGAGTCAGGTTGCTGCTCGGACAGATTCCTGCTGGCACAAAGTGCAGGGACCGACAGGAGACTGACGCCCACCTGAGGCCTCAGGCTGTAGTCATAGGCAGACTGGGCACACTGGTGACAAGGACAGACATACAGGAGAAGGACATCACTGCCACCCACTGCTGGCCTCGACCCGCACACCCTCCACACGGGACACCTCCAGGCTGAAAGCCGCCCAGGAAACAGCCCAGCCACACAGTCTCAGGGCTGAGTGGAGGGTCCATGGGCACAGCAGGACAGCCTGTTACACTTGTGTAGGCCCTGAGGGACCTGACAAGGAGCAGCTGTCATGACTGCAGGTGCAGCACAGCCCCAGAGATGACGGGCTGAGGCGTGGCAACAGGGCTGCGGGTGGATCTCGCTATGTCTGCCCTGCAGGCAGCCCAGGTGGGAACCCTCCTGTACCTTCATTGAGTACACCTTCTCCGGCCTGCTCCCTTTCAGCCCACAGCCCGGCTGTTCCTGCCCTTCCCTAGAGCTGCTGTGTGGGCTCCGTGGACAGCTCTGTCCCTGGGCCTGGAGGGCAGAGGCTCACCTGCAGGGAGTTGAGCACCGCAAACATGTACTGGAAGACCAGGGCCTGGTCATTGACAGCCAGCACGCCGAACGCCCACGAGGTCCCCAGGATGGGCAGCAGCACGGCCACAGCCTTGGCTGTCAGCCTGGAAGAGAAGTAGTGAGGGCCACGCTGGGGTGGCAGAACAGGTGGTGGGAATGGACTGGGTCTCCTGACAGGAAGGGGTGGCACCAGGCTTGGAGGCCTCTGGGAAAGGGACTTGCTGTGTGAACCAGGACCGGGAGGAGGAGAGCCGGCCACAGGAGCCGCCTGTCGGGAGCCAGGATCTCTGCACACTGCGGCCGTCCCCACCACCAGACCTCAGGGAGCTGCAGCCTGTCCTGGAGTCGCTGACACAAGAGAAAGGAGGTGCCCATCCCCGGGACACAGGAACGCCTGGCACACGGCTGGCTGAGGAGCCACCAGGAAGCGGGTCGGGTGGCTGCTTCACAGCGACCCTTTGCTATTTCCTGAAAACGGAGCAGGGCTGAAGGTGGGGACGCACTGGGCTCCCCGGGATCTGTCCCCATGTCACACACAGGAGGAGCCAGGGCCAGTGGTCAAGGCCCAGGTGCACATCCCCCTTGCCTGGCCCTCAGGCTCCCCAAGGTCCTCGGTCAGCTGGTGTTCCTGCTGGGCACCCTGCTCCGGGGTCGCTCCCTCCCACCCAGCCCCACCTCGGGGACCCCAGCTTCTCTGCTTCACTCTCAGCGGTTTGCAGTTCCAGCAAACACGGACTTTGGTGAGAAGGCTGGCCTGGGCTGGCACTGTGCAGGTAGGTGTCCTAGGTCACTTACTGACAGCCGCTGGGTAGAGTCACCAACTGCCTATGACCACCATGGGGACCAGAGGGCACTGCCAGGGATGCTGTGCCCTTCCCCACTGAGTGGTCGCTGAGATGCACGGATGGGACAGGGGTGCGGTCTGCGCTCCCAGGACCCTGGGGGGCTGGGCGGGGGGACCCTGGCCCGTGTCACAGGGCTGCTCGACCCTGCGAGCTTCCTTCCTCTCCACCAGCACAGCCTTGAAGGCCTGAGGGTGCAGCGCTCCCCAGGTTAATTTACAGTGTTTGGAATTCATTATGGAATAATTATCTCATCGATCAGCTGCTGGCTTGTTTATGGCTTTTGCTTTCAGATCAGAAAAGATCTACTGTGGCTGAATTCACTTAGGCTGTTGCAGCTGTGCAACCTTGCTGTTTATGGCCCCCATATCCCGGCCAGGAGCCACCTCCTGCCCCTCATCCTGGAGGCTGGGTGTGCTGGTGTCCAGTGTTGGGGTGACTGTGTGGCTCGGCCCAAGCCCTGTGGTTTCAGCTCCCCCATCCTCCACAGGAACTAGAGGGGCCCCTCAGGCCTGAGCTCCTGTGGTCCCTGCCACCAGGAGGGCAGTGTCCATCTGGACAGGAAGCCAACCGGGAATAGCCATTGTGGAGATGGGGTCACCACACAGCTCCTGCAGGGCCTGGTGTCTGCACGCTGGGCCCTTGAGTCACCAAGCAGAGTGCAGGGTCAGGGAGCTGTGGCCTGGCCTCCGCACCCCAGGCTTTCTGCCCTTGTGGCAGGCCGCAGTGCAGCGGGCAGTCCCGTCTCCCTGTGAGGGGGTCCTGTCACCACCCCTGCTGCAGCAAGGAGGTCGTGGGGCCGGGGGTGTCCCCCAGGGTCCAGCGGAGGCCGGGCAGTGGGGCTGGCTTGGGCTGCTGAACTCCAGATCTGACCCCTTCCCCGGGGTGACCTACTTGAAGGCGCCCGGGTCCCCATGAATCTTGTAGCTGTCGGCGCTGATGTGGGAGATGACCCTGGTGACCGCAATGAGAATGCCAATGTTGACCTGCATGGCGGGGAGGGACAGGAGTGGTGAGGAGGCCAGGGGCCAGCAGGCACCACACACTCTCCCCGCTGACGCAAGCCAGGCCCTGCCGCTGCAGCGGGGAGCAGTGGGACCATGGGCAGGCTCTTGGGCACTCTCTCCCTCTCTCAAGCCTGGCCCCACACCCGGCCCGGCCACCCCGACCCACCAGCGACCGGGTTAGAGCCACAGTACAAGCTGTTCGGAAAGACCAGCCCTGCGGTGCCCTGGCCCAGGCTGTCATCCCAGGTGTACCTGCTGCCCAGCACCCTCTAAGGCCGGGGACCTGCCTGGACATCCTGGGAACCTCCAGCCCAGGGCACTAGGTCCTCTCACCTGGCTGCTCTCCAGGGTCCTGAGCACCAAGGGCAAGGTGGGCAAGGGATGGGGATGGGGCAATGGGGCAGCAGGGAGTCTGGGAAGGCCCAGGGTTGCCCTTGGTTCTGAAAAGTCCTGAGAGCATGGAGGGTGGGTGCAGCTCCAGGCTGAACGCCCCAGAGGAGTGTCCAACCCCAGAGCCCTGCAGGCTCCCGCAGCAGGTGGGATGGCTGCTGGCAGGGCCAGCCATGTGTGCCGCAGACCCTGGGGCCTGGCAGCGCAGATGCCCCCTCCCAGCTGTGCACCCACGTCTACCTTCCCAAAGCCGTCTGCTGGGATGGTCTCACCCAGGACCTACTTGGACTCTGCGCCTGCCCTTCCCTGCTGGCCCCTCCCCTGCCTCTGCTCAAAGCCTCCTCTGACCTCACTGCTGCCCCCGCTCTCTCAGCAATGGACAGTGTGGGCCAGCACTAAGCTGCAGCTGTCACTCTCCACCCAGCCTCCCGCCCACCCCGCTGCCCTCATTTCCTGCCTGTAAAGTGAGGCTGAGGACAGAGAGCTCCTGAGGGGGGTGGAGGAGGAGCCAGCGCAGCCGCCCAGTGCTGTATCTGCACAATACAGCACCTGGCCAAGGGACCCAGGGGACCCAGAGGACAGCAGAGCCCCTGGCTGCTGGATGGAGGGGCCATGTGGGGACAGGTCATTGGCTTTCACATGCAGTCACTTCCCCAGGTGGACGGCGACCCCAGGGAGGCCAGAGTATGAGCCACTGCTTCCATGGGCCACCACAGAAGCCACCCCACTGCTGTGTCACTGAGGGAGAGGTGGGGCTCCCAGGGTCAAAAGTGCCCTGGCCTTTTGTCTCACTGAGGTGTGGGAGTTTTTACTGGAAAACAAGATGCTTTGCAGTTACGCTGTCTGGTTTGTTTCAGAATTCTGAAAATTTTCAGAGTAACTCTTCCAGCAGTCCCCATCTGGGGGGATTTGGTGAGGATCTCACCTACCATCCTACAGGCCTTGCCCCTTCCCCTTTGGGGGTCACCATCCAGGCACCTCGCCCAGCCCGAGACAGAGCCTCCCTTATGTCAGGAAGACAGGTTCGGCTGGGTCTGGGCCTTGGAGCCAGAGCCCGCTGCCCACTCAGGTGAAGGCAGCACAGCTGCCACAGTTGCAGGGAAACCCTGGGAGCAGATGGGAGGCAGAAACCAGCGAATTCAGAAGCAGGTGTGGGTGGAGGTTTCTCATATATTCCTAAGGTTCTCTTTTAAATTTTTGAACCAAATGTGTTAAAAATTCAAAAGCCAAGTTACCTAACTAAATTTCAATTATAAGCAGTCCCAAAGTAAAAGAAAAACAACTTGAAACTCACTTCCTGTGAGGACCCCAGCACACCCTGGGGTCAGGAAAAGACTAACTGGACACTGTCCTGGTGGAGGAAGCCCAGGTTACATGGGGTCATGTGAGGGTGACCCTGCCCACCACATGGCAGCCATGAGCATGCCGGCTGCCATGCACCCTCGCCGTTCACCAGTGAAGACGCGGCAGGAAGCATCTGAGCAGGATGTCAGTGACTAAGGAACACACCCAGCCTTTCAGCGTCTCCCTGGGACACGTCCCTAATGAGCCGCTGGGTCCATGATCCCTGTGGATCCACCAATGGGGATGGATGCTGGAGAGGGGCGGGAGGCAGGGTGAGGACTGGGTCACAGTGAGCATGGAATATGAGGGCATCGGTGCCACCCCAAGGCTCATCCCCAAGTCACCAGAGCCTTCATCAGGTGTAGAGCTCTCTGCATCCTCAGGGTGCTGGGGCAGCTCCTGCTGTCACCTCGTGGGCTGGACACCCTGTCGGGCAGGCCAAGGAGGACACTGAAGGTGTCTCTGGCAATGTCACCCGCAGCATGGTTACCCTGGGCCTGAGAAAGGACCACGCTGCAGAGGGAGCCAGTCGAGGGGGTGGGATCTGCAGGGACCCTGGCTTGGCCCCAGCCCAAGGGCACGGGGACCCGATCCAAACCACCACTGCCAAGGAGGTGGGGTCACCTTCCCGGCTGGCTATCCCCTCCTGGATTCCCGAGGCCCCGGGCAGTCAGCCAGCACCACTGCACAGTGTGTGTGATGCCTGGGTTGGGGACAGCAGTGAGACCCTGCCTGCCCCTGTGACATAGCCCAGGACTGTGGCAGCTCTAAGTTACTCATTTTTTAGAGGGAACAGGCAGAAGAAAAGGACAGGGGATGGGAGCTCCAGTGAGGGACAGTGAGGGCCCCACAGGGTCCCCATGTCCTCTGAACTGGCTGCAGGCAGCCCCGAGGAGGCCAGGATGATGCCCACCCTGGAATGCCTGGCTCAGAGCGCCTACTTTTCCTGACAGCGCCCCCACTTGGCCCGACATGGTCGGAGGGCTGAGCTCACATGGGTCAGGTGATGCAGTTCTGACCAATCAGACAACCACATTGCTCCCATGGCAGCCAATCAGAACAAGCCCTGCTCTCCCCTGGGGCTGGTGGGAAGCACCTCCCCTCCACCTGGAGCCCAAGCTGCCAGGACCTGCAAGCAGGGCAGACAGGAGCACGGGATGGGCCCTGTGGTGTGTGTGCTGAGCTCCAGATCCCACATTAGGGTTTTTCCCACCCTGCACCCCAGTTTGCCCCTCTGTAAAATTCAGCTCCATCTACTGTGGTTTGAAAGTCTGTCTGCTTCCAGCTCATGCTGAAATCTAATGGCCACCAAAACTGTCCCCAGCTGGGATCTTGAGGCCGGGCACTCAGTGTGGCAAACGGATGCCCTTCCAGGTGCGGCACCTTGACCATGGACCTCCAAGGCCCAGGACAGTGAGAAATAAGTGTCCACTCGTCATAAATCACCTGGCCGCAGTCTCAGGTGTCCACAGCTAAGAACACCTCTGCAAGTGGCCAGAGAAAGAGGGATGGGGTGGGGGGGCACTGATGAGACAACGCCTTCGAGTCTGGGAGGAGGATGCTCCACTTAGGGAGCCCTTGTCCCTGCAGTGTCACTAGAGTCACACGGAGGTCACTGCAGCACCTCCAGGAGCCACAGGGACTTGGCACGAAACCAGTCACTGCCACCACTGCCTAGGTCCCTAGGGGCTAAGCACCCCCACCGCCAGTCCCCAGGGACCATGTTGGGGCCCACATGAGGCTGCAAGAGGTCAGAACCAGCAGCCCAGCACTCCATCCTCGGAGATCCAGATGGGACAGAACAAGACTGCTTCTGTCAAGCCCATGTTTCCCTCCTCAGTGACAGAACCAGGTCTTCAGGAAGCCACATCTCCCACACCTGTCCCCACTCCAGGGCACAGTGGTCTCCACCACTCTAGCCCCAAGGTTAGAGCTGTCCCCAAGCCTGGCCAGTCAGAGCAGCCCTCTCCTCCAGTCTTAGAGCTAGCCAATCAGAGCAGCCCTCTCCTCCAGTCTCAGTCAGAGCTAGCCAATCAGAGCACCCCTCTCCTCCAGTCTTAGAACTAGCCAATCAGAGCACCTCTCCCCTGGCCTCAGCGAGCAGCCTGTGATGGTCAGAAACACAAGCTGGCTCACCAGGAATGATTTGACTGCAGACCAGGAATGTTGCCAGAACAACAGAAAGACGGGTTCATCAACATGACGACACAGTTGTGACATAGCTGGGCTAGGGCTTCCTGCTGCTCACCAATAGGATTTGTCTTTTTCTGGCACAGTTGGGGACCTAAAAGCCATTTTTGCCATGAACTGTGACTCTTCCTCGGGCTACAGGTGCCCAGCAGGTCACTGGAGCAGAGCAAGGCTCTGCCTGGACTTGGTGTCCTCTGTGACGAGAAACCCTGGCCAGCAGGTCTCCTGCCAGCCCTGACAGGGCACAGGGTGTGGGATGTCGTCTAGGGGCCGGCAGTCTAGGGTGGATCCACCTGAGCTCACAGGATGCCTGCCCCTCGAGACGGGGCACCAGGCCAGGGTACACAGGGACTAGGCCTCCAGCTTCCAGCACTGTCCCCAGCCTGCGGTCCCCTGGATGCCAGGGCGGTGAAGCCCGCAGACCTGAGATTCCAGAGCTGTGACACCAGGGCGGGAAGACAATAGCTGGACCTACCTGGCTCTTTCCTGTGAGCACCTGAGTACCTACCACAATGACCAGCAGGGCAGGGCCCACGAAGGCCCAGATGGCGCCTGTCCCCAGAGACAGCCAGCAGCTGTGGGAAAAGCAAAGTGTTACTCAGCAACCTGTCCCTGGGCCTGTCAGCAAGCCAGTGGCACTCAGCATCCCCCCAGACTTTCCCCACAGTGACCCCAATGGCTGCCCTGGGACCAGGGTGCAGTCCGAGGCTGTGGAGGTCCCCTGGCCTCGGGACATGGCCCAGGACTGGGCAAGAAGCCAGCCCCCCTGCAGCTCCACGCGGCCAGTGCCCAGGACAAGTCACCTCCTGAGTCCTGGGACTGAGTGCTCTGGGTGCTGGCTGTTGCCTGGGACCTGCCCTCATCTGATTCACCCTCTGCACTATGACTCCCGTGCCTCGTGCAGGGAAACTGAGGCCCAGAAAACTCAGGGAAGCTGAACCAGCACAGGTGCCTGTCTCTGTCCCACTCTGGTTGGGAAGCCATGGCCCCTGAAAGCACCATTGATCCGAGGTCTTAGGTGCTGATGGGCTCGGGGAAGTGCTGTCAATGAGGGGTCTCAGGCAGGTCCTGGGCACAGAGCCAGCAACTCGAGCCACCCATGACGCACGTGGGCCTCACACTCGTGTACACGCATGCACCACTCACTCCTGCGGTTACTGGCAGAGCACGGTCCAGGACAGCCATGACATGACAGCACTGGGTAGGCACATCTGGGACCCCAGGATACCCACTTACTTGTCACTTGTCCCATAACTGTCCATGGCGAAGGAGACAGAGATGATGCAGATGACCAGGGGGAGGCCTGTGGGGAGGACGAGAGTCACATGGGCACCTACCCCGCCACGACTGGACACAGCCACATGCGGAACACAGCTGGGCACTGGGCACAGAGCAGCCCAACGCAGACAAGTGACCACACCCACCACTGACCCGGTCATCTCAACAACCACACATGGATCATGGCGGCCGTGCACTCACACACGTGCTTCCCAGGGACCTGTAGTGAGGCCATCCCGGGACCTGTGGGGCGTGACTGCTCACAGCCCAGGAGGATCCCCCAGCTGCAGGGAAGGAGGGAGCTGGGACGGAGGGGCCTGGAGGGCCAGGCTGCCCTACCTGAGCCCGAACCTTCTGGGAGCCAGCAGCCCCTCGTCCACGGGCCCCGCCCTGGCCTGGCCCTTCCTGGGTCTAGGCTGTGACCCAGGATGGCTCCAGAACGTCTTGTCCCCAGCCACAGAGGCTCCGGCCAGGAGGGACCAATGGACTCAGCCAGGGACTTCCTTGACTGCCATTTTCCCGCTGGGCTCCTGGGCAGGCCAGGATGTTAGCGGGGCAGGGGCACAGCCTGTGTCACTGCAGAGGGCTCAGGGCTGGGACAGGAAGTCAGGAAAAGCGAATCGTTGGCTGTGCCATGGGGGCTGGGGACCGAGCCATCCCTGAAGCCCGCACCCTGTGCCTTTGTTATTACATGAACCATGAAGCAACTTTTCTCTGGAGCCAATTCAAGATGGATTTTTGTGGCTTAAGACTGAGTATGAGTAATTAAATGCTCTGACTATTTTACACAGCTGTGTGAGACCTTCTTGGGAGCAGAACGGAGGTCTGGAATACAGAAAAATCCAGGACCAGCAGTCTGCAGAGCTCTGGATCTCTGAAAAGCAGGGATTCTGGGGCTCCGCTCTTTCCAGACAGGACACAAAAAATTAAGATGTGCTGTGTTCATGCGTCAACTCCCTGTGAAGAACATAATTATGGGGTGCTAATTTGTACTAATACAAATGCAAATCTTCTAAAAAACATTTTTAAAAAAATCTCCTTGAGAGGCTCCTAACCCTGCAGGACCTGGCAGTGCCTCTCCCTGGGCTGGGGCTTCCAGCAGGTTGCAAGGTCTCTGAAGGAAGAGGGGCTCAAGCCCCGCCCAGCCAGCGCTGGTTGCCCTGGAAATGCACTGCCACCTCCACACCCCAGCCTGTGAGGCAGGGCCCTGCAAGGTGCCCTGTACTGTGGCCTCTGCCCCCCGTGAGGGAGTGGGGCACAGAGACTCTGCTCCGTGGTGAGGGAGCCCTGGGGCAAGGAGCTGCGCTTCCTGGGTCCCCGGTGTGAGGAGGGGCCAGCTTGGCAGGTTTGCAGTCAGTCACCTGGGAAGGAGTCTTTGTCCTGCCAGGAACTCTGAGCTTCAAACTGAGAGGGCCAAATGCTCCGCAGAGCCATACACAGATGCCAGGGCCTTCAGGGGGGCAGTGGGCCGGTGGCCAGGAGCTAGCCTCTTGTGGGGACCTCTGTCACTGTGGTCACCTACAGAGGGCATCCTCCCCTCGGGCCAGGTGGAAGCACTTCCTCTGGGGCTGTGCTCTGCTCCTGACCTCCTGACAAGTAAGTTACAGGCCGTGACAGGAGACCATGCAGGCTGGGCTCAGAGCTGTGTGGGGCCCAGGGTTGGTGCCACAGGGGCCACAGGTCCCTGTCAGAACCAGGCTCCCAGTCATGCCTCCAGGAGCCTGCCCTGTGGCTCCTCATTGAAGTCCTGACAAAGAATTCAGCTCCTCAACATGTGCAGCTCACAGAAATACCGCCAGGCCAGATCCATCAGATTACCACACACGTCCTCACCTGAACACCCTCCCACTCACACCACACACACCTGTGGCACCACACATTCATGCACACACACCCCAAACCCTGAGCACACACGTCCTCACACACGGGTACACACCCATCTGAGGGGGAAGCTCACTCCCCATGCTCCTCCCTCGAGCAACGCTTCCCACAAACTCTGTTGCCTGCACCAACTGTCTTTGCTGAGGTCCAGTGTGTGTGTGTGCGCACGTGTGCATTGTGCCTCCAGAGTGCCTAACTCTTCACAGACCTGGTAAGCTGTGCGTGGTGGCCATGCCACCTCCTCCACCTCACTGACCACACCTGACCAGGGACAAGAGGGAGACTGGGAAGATGGTGGGGGCCTGGCCTGGGGCCTCCTGGGCACCTGTGAGGGTGGCAGGCAATACAGTGCCCAGTCCGCACCCACTCTGGTGCTTGCAGCCCCAAGGGAGGCGTTGCACCCCGCTCCACTGCACACAAGTCACACTCACAGCAAGGGGTGGGATCTGCCCCTGCAGGGCGAGGACTCCCTGCAGAGACAACGCAGGTCCCACCCTGGCCAGGGCTTGTGACAAGCTCAAGAGCTTCAGGTGGCACCCAGCCCAATGTGGGCAGCGCGACCCGGCCCTGGGCTCCCAGGACAAGTGGCCGGTGGAGACGTCCAGACCAGGGGGCAGGTGGCTGAGCAGGGCATGGGGAGACCATGGAGACTCACAGTGGAGCCCGCACTGCGGCCCAGCGCCATTGCATGAGGTGACACCTGCTCCACCCACTGCACCCAGCTCTGGCCCGAGGTCACCATGGGGTCCGCGTCCAGCTGTAAGAGTGGGGAAGCCAGGTCTCTGTGTGCTCAGAGAGGAGCCAGGCTGAGGACACTGGGCCACCCACCCTGGGGAGAAGAGGCGAGTGCTGCCAGAGTCCTCAGCTTCCCAGGTCCAAGGGTGATCAGCAGGACCCTGTAGGCCTGGGCCAAGCAGATGGCAGCGGGGTGGCTCCAGGCCACTCTGTGGAAGCTGCCCTGGGACGTCAGGCCCGGGGCTGTGCTCAAGAAACATGCAGCCTGGGAGGGGACCAGCAGCACAGCTCCTGCCACATGTCATCCAAATACAGCCTGGGAGGAGAGCCCAGGAGTGTGACATACGTGCTGGGCAGGCAGGCGGCAGAAAGCATGGAGAGGGCCTGGCAGACTTCTCAGGAGAGGACCTCAGAGCACCGTGCCAGGGCTGTGTCCCAGGGCCAAACAGACCCTGGGGAGGAGTGAGCGCCTGAGCACCTGGTGACAGGGCCTCTGCATCAGCAAGGGCCTGGACTTCTCAGAAGGCACAGACAAGACCAAACGGGAGCTCTGGAGTTGAAAAGTGCAGCCAAGGAAGAGAAAGCTTCCCGAGAACCCAGACAGTCCCCTAACACACACTCTCCAGGCACGTGTGTCTCAGCACTGAAGGAAATGATGGAGTTACAGGGGACAGAATAAACACGTGGGCCTCTCTTCTTTTCCCCTGGCGCAGATTGGAAACAATGGGTTTTTGTAGTTCCACTGCTGGGCCCATAACAGCCAGAGAGGAAATCTATTTGCCAACAATGTACAGGGCAGGTGGTGGAGGCAAAGCCAAACCTGAGAGTGGAGTGAAGCCAGGTGGCCACACTAAGTCACGGGGAGTGTGACAGGGCCAGCGACGGCATGGGAGGCCAATGCCACAGATGCACGGAGATGCCTGCCTCCCTCACCTCAGCTTCTTTAAGGACTGCAGGGGTGTGAGCAAGGTGATCCTGCACGGACAGCAGATATGATCACAGAATGAAGGAAGGAATGACAGAGCCAGACGAGAGGAGCCTTTCCCTGTCCTACCACAACCGAGATGGGCACCGTGAGCACTGGAACAATTACCGAAGACAGAACTCGAAGACATAGTGCAAGAGTCATTCAGGGAATTAAAAGATTACACTAGAAAATATCTGCTTAATTCAAAAGCAGGCAGCAAGGAGGATCAGAGCAAGCAACGGGTAGGAGGCATATCAGAAGCCAAGAGGCAACGGCAGACGTAAACCACCCAGGTCCAAATGTGCACTGTGAGACAGCGACCCAGTAGACAGCTGCCAGGCCCAACTGCAGAGCAAGCCCGGCGCTGGCCGGTCCACAGCAGCCAGACGCACCAGGCCCCAGCACACACCCGGGGAAACAGAGTGTGGGAAAGACCCCAAGCAAGCAGCAGCCACAGGAACAGCCACTCTGACAGCAGCCGCAACAGCCCATGGGAGACGCTCATCACCACGATGGTCGGGTCCCAGAAAGACGCCTGCGCTCGTCTGTGCACCTGAGGCACAAAACAAGCAGCCAAGCTGGGGACAGGCGCCCGACAGGAGCAAGGCCTCGCTTCTGGTAACAGTGGAGCCAGAGCCGACCACACAGCAGCCAGGCCATGGCCGCCCAGAGCCCACCAGTGACAGGGCAGTGCGGCTCTTCCAGGGCTGAGCCTCAGCCCACAAAGCAAACCTTAGTACCTTCAAGAGGACCAGAGTCCTGCAGAGCCGAAGGAGAGCAGCAGTGGGTGCAAGGAGCATGTGAGAGCCCCAGGTCAACACAACGTAAAGAGCAGAAATCAGGCGGGAAAGTAGAAAACACTTCTGGATGAAGGAGAGCGAGAACACACTAACAAAGCACGTGGGTCCTAAAGCAGGGCACACAGAAGACATGCCTGCCTGTGCCAGGTAAAAGGACAGATGCCATGGGCACCTACATCCTCCCAGAAAGCAGGGTGAGCAGAGGAGGACAAAACAGATTGGAGCAAAAGTTAATGCACCAGGCAACAGAACAGCAACAGGAACACGGGTGTGGGGCCGTACCCCAGTAATCCTAGCACTCAGAGGCAGGCCAGCCTGCGCTACACAGTAAGAGCTGGTCTCTTACAAAGAAAAGAAAAAGAAAACAACAGGAAAATCCAGAAAGTAAGTTGGTTAAAAAAAATCACCAAATTGGGCCAGGGTTTTAGCTCACTGGTTCTGCTGCCTACCTCGAAACTACAAGGACCTGAGTTCTATCCCTGGTACCAAACCAAAAACAAAAACAAATCAACAAATTGATCAACCAATTAGGGATGTGAGGAGTGTTTCCAAGTGATATGAGATTTTGGCCTTTGTCGGAACATCAGGGATCTCTCCCCATCCCTAGTACCCCCATCCTCCCACC